CTGCCCGATCGTTTGCCCGACTACACCGGTATCGGCTTTACACGGGTACCGGAAAACTCGGAATTTATAATAACTGTGGACGATATACCAAGCTCCATGCCCTACGATGTGGTGATACGTTATCAGACCACTTCACGTGATGACTGGGAGAAAGCTTATATAACACTTGTACGTAACGACGAAGTAGATCCGGATGGTGTTTGCGCATCCAGCGTACAACCCGGTTCGAGTGTGTACGAAACGCGTATACCATTTACTTTACCCGAGCGCGATCGTCAAGTTGTGGCACTACGCAATGTCTGTCTGGAAGCGAATAAGGTGTATAAGTTCAAAATACATTTCGAACGACGTCGTCAAAATGAAGACAATCCCTCTGCCACAATTATGATTGACTCACTGACGCTGGTACCACGCATTGAAGTAACATCGGTATTCACTGGCTCGATTGCTGCCGATCTGCGCCGTCGCGAATATATACAAATGGGCTGCAATCAGTCGCTGTATGACATACGTTACACCAACATTGTGGACCCACGTTGTCAAGACTTGGAGAATTACGCCAGCACGGAGATACATGATGGCGCGAGTATGTGTAACTGTAACCCGACAGGCGCGCTGAGTAAGGAATGTGACCCACATGGTGGTTTCTGTCAGTGCAAACCGAATGTAATGGGTCGTCAATGCGATCAGTGTGCTCCCGGCACGTATGGTTTTGGACCAGAAGGCTGTAAAGCTTGTGACTGTAATAGTATTGGCTCGAAAGACAACAACTGTGACCTAATTACGGGTCAGTGTGCTTGTCACCCCAATACCTACGGACGTGAGTGCGATCAGTGTCAACCGGGTTATTGGAACTTCCCCAACTGTCAGGTGTGCGAATGTAATGGACATGCTCAGCAATGTGACGCCCACACTGGTCAATGTATCAACTGTTTGGACTTTACAAACGGTTATGCTTGTGACGCTTGTTTGGAAGGCTATTACGGCAATCCCTTGTTGGGCAGTGAGATAGGCTGTCGCGCTTGCCGTTGCCCCGACACAGTTGCCAGCGGTAATACACATGCTGAAGGCTGCTCGCTTGATACACGCAATAATAACATGATTTGTCACTGCAAAGAGGGTTATGATGGCGGACGTTGTGAGGTCTGTGCTGACAATTATTTCGGCGATGCCGAGACACCAGGCGGCTCCTGCCAAAAATGTGATTGTAGCAACAATATCGATCTTTATGATACCGGAAATTGTGATCGACGCAATGGACAGTGCTTAAAATGTCTTTATGATACGACTGGCGATCATTGTGAGCTCTGTCGCAACGGTTATTTCGGTGATGCGTTACAACAGAATTGCGTACAATGCGATTGTGACTTTTTGGGCACGAACAAAACGATTATGCATTGCGATCGCTATACCGGCCAATGTCCGTGCTTGCCCAATGTACAGGGCATACGTTGCGATGAATGCGCGGTAAATCATTGGAAAATCGCTTCCGGTGAAGGTTGCGAAGCTTGTGAATGTGATCCAATTGGTTCCCTATCTGAACAATGTAACCGTTATACCGGTCAATGTGAGTGCCGAGATGGCTTTGGAGGACGTGCTTGTAATCAATGTCAATCGAATTACTGGGGCAATCCGAACGAAAAATGTCAACCCTGCGAATGCGATCCCTATGGCTCGGCAGACTTCCAATGCGATCGTGAGACCGGACAGTGTGTCTGTCACGAAGGTATGGGCGGTTATAAATGCAATGAATGTGCGCGTGGTTATCAAGGGCGTTTCCCGCATTGCGCACCTTGCGGCGAGTGCTTCAACAATTGGGATTTGATTTTACATGGTTTGGAAGACGCTACCGCAGAGGCCATACAGCGTGCGAAGGAGATCAAATTAGTTGGCGCTACCGGTGCGTATACGGCAGAGTTCAGCACTTTGGATAAGAAATTGCAAAATATACGGGATCTGTTACAAAACACTACTGTTAGTTTGCAGGACATTGATGCTTTGGATAAGGAAGGTGCGGAACTCAAAGAAAAACTGCAAGCTTCACACAGTAAATTATTAGAGACCGAAGAGAACTTAGAGAATATACACTCATCTTTGAGTCTATCCACTGTTGAGCTCGAAGCGTTGCGTAATCAATCTGAGCTCGTGAAAAAATTGTCAAAGGAACTCAAAGAGAACGGCATACAGCTGCAGGAATCTAATATCGAAGGTGCACTGAATCTAACACGAAATGCATTCGAGCGTGTATTGGACTTGTCCGCATTGAAGAATGAAGCCGAAGACTTTGCGGCCAACACAGATCGCAACTGTAAGCGCGTCGAAACGTTGTCGAATAAGATAAAGGATGAACAAGATATGATCAAGGCGAACGATGGCATCATTACTGACCATCGCTACGAGCTTTTAACGCTAACCAGCATGATACCCGGTTTAAATAATGAAGTGTGCGATAAGAGTGGCGATCCGTGCGATTCGCTTTGTGGCGGCGCCGGTTGCGGCTCCTGTGGCGGTCTTTCCTGTGAACATGGCGCCCTAACGCGTACCGAAAAGGCGCTTAAAGTTGCCAAAGACACCGAACAAAAAATTAAAGATAAAAAGGATGTAGCCGATCAAACTATACGTTCACTCTTCCAAGCTAAAGTCAACGCGTCCGAAGGTTATCAGAAGGCAAAGAGCGCCTTCGAAGATGCCGAGCGTTACCTCAATCGCACCAATGAGAACATTAAAAAGGGTGAAGCCACGATCGAGCAACTGAACAATTTCATAAACAATAACACTGCACTGCCCACCGAGAGTCGTGACATTGCACAGCAAACACTCAAGCTAGACTTGAAATTGGATCCCGAAGAGATACAAGTATTGGGTGGCAAAATCAACGATGCTGTATCCTCACTCAAAAATGTCGAATCTATTATTTACAATACACGTGGCGATCTAGCGCGCGTAAACGAACTGCAAGCGAAGGCAAACACAACCAAAGAAACTGCCAACGAAATATTAGATACTGCCAATTCGGTAGTGAAGAATCTCGACGACGCTGATGCCTCACAACTGAAGGCCATCGATGCCATATCACAAGCCAATGGAAATATCGAACTTGCAGCCAAGGATTTGGATCAAATCGATCTGGAGACTAGCGAAGCTGAAGCGCCAGCTAATGCAACAGCACAACAGGTTGAAGATCTGGCCAAACAGGTTAGCCGTATACAAAAGAATATACTTAAAAATGAATTGGACGCTAAGGAAATCAAGAATGAAGCGATTGCAGTGAAAGAGGGCGCCTTGAACGGACGCGAATACTCCAAACAATTGCAGTCGGCCACGAATTTAGTCAATCAAACGTTAAGCGATCGTGCGCGCAACTCGGAGAGCGCACGTGAACGCGCCAAGAAACTGTTGCAACGTGCCTCCAAACTGACCGTTGACACTAACGATAAACTGAGTCAACTGCAGGTGATGCAAGACGTCTATATGGAGAAGAATAATACTTTGCAGAAGTTACAGGATGCTTTGAAGCCGCTCAACGATGAGCTGACTTTGTCGCTGCAGCAAATACAGGAGCATGCCGATCGTTACAGGCTGTGCACCGGCTAAAGCGGCAAGCCACGTGCATCTGCATAAGTTAGTTGGAATAAAAACGCAGTGTTGCAACATTGCATTTATACTTAATAACAATAGCCTTTGATAACTGCAATAATTTGCTGATTTTTGCGCATTAGAAAGACCAAAACTCAAATATATCGATTTTAAAGCCAGTGTTAAAAATGTTAGCTGTGCGCCGGGGCGGCTGCGTCGCGTTTATTAATTTCTTTTTTTCTACCCACATTCACTTTTTCTATTCTCCAATTGCATTGTAAGCCATATTGATGAACAAAATATTAATTTTAGTAAAGCACAAAATAAAAAAAATTAAAAACGAAAACGTGTCTGTTGTAAGCAAATGTTATATTTTATATACATTTATATATAAAATATATTTTACTCTATGTTAGTTTATTTAAAGAAGCCATCTCTAAGAAACAGCAAAAACAATTAAAACAAAAACAATTTTTAAGCAAAAAGTACTTGAATGACAAAATACGAAAGTCACATTCATTTACTTTATACACATATACACACACACATATATATACATACAATACATAAACATAAAACCGATAAGCAGAAGAACGAATAAATACGTCTCGAACATATGAATAAATTATGTGCCTTAAATAACATGTAAAATACAATTAGAGATTGATTTCTCTACTAAATATTTTGTTGTAATAACTAAGTGTAATTTTTGTATTAATGTATTGAGCCAATAAAAATGTTTACAAATCAATTTCTACTTTATTGATCAGCAGCAAAACTAGCAGCGACCACAGGTGCATTTCTTATAGCATAAAAGGATTGATCTTGATCGCTCAGTTTGAATGGCAGTTATATGCTAACATATAGCATACAATTTTTTCGGAGATTGTAGTGTTGTCTTGTAGAATAATCCGTGGCAACTTTCGCGAAGATATCTTGTCAAACAAATAAATTTTTCATATAAGAACGTAATTTAGATCTATCAGTGTGCATGACAACTATATTTTATAGTGGTCCATTACTGGAGACTCCGAAAAATGAGCAGCTTCTTGGGGAAAAAAGAACGTGTGTCGATATCTCAAAAATCTAAAGCTTAGTTCGCGTATATGCAGACGGACAGATTTAAATCGACGCAGCTCGTCGCGCTGATTATTTATATACATATATACTTGATAGAGCCTCCGACGTTTCCTACTAGGTTACAAGCTTCATGGTGAACCCTGAAAGGATTAATCAAGCCTAATATACAATATAAAACCACAAAAATTGCAAGAAATACTTCAAACTCAAAATCAAGAGTTTACCATAATTTTTCAGAAAAATTACAACTTTTCGTCAGATTTCACTCAATTCGTCATGTATACAGGATCCCCAACTTTATAAAAAATCATAGTGCCAAAATTTCCGGATCTCGCAGACTCGCAGGTTTGCTCTGACCGAGTGTGAGAGCGCCAGCGGTTTTGGTTTTTAGAAAAATGGAAAAGTAGCCATATCGGTCGTTGATTCGATTCTCATTTCTGAAAGGTAACCTCGAGTTAAAAACGAACAAGAGTTATATATTGTACTATAACGGTGACTCATTTTCTTTAGGACTGTCAAAATGGTCCCTCGCAAACAGATACCATGGAGGATGTCGTAAAAAGCTTTTGTCGATCACGAAGGTGCGCCTCGACAAATAGTAGATGTCTCAAATTTCAGGTAAAGGAAAGCTATCTTGAGAGAGACTACTTAAATCGAAACCGGTTTTGCGTCAAAAAGGTTAGGGAACAGTCGAAGCCGGCAAACCTGCTTCGAAAAAAGCGAAGACTGTTCTAGTCTTGGGTGATAACTCGCACTTTCTGGACCTTATCATTAATAATTCGAAGCCGAATTGCACAAAAACGGTCTCATTTGCCACTATGCAAACACATCGCTTGAAAACTTCGCTGTCGCTACAGCCAATCTGCGAACTTTCTTTTAGAACTTTTTCTGGGTGTTATCAATAAAACAAAAAAAATTGTTAAGGATCTCACTTTATAAATATGTATTTTTTAGACGATCTGTCTTCCCTCCCTTTCGGAATAAAGCTACCAATTGAAAATTTCTCTATTGCACTCTGGCAATTTTTATTTTCGATGTTCAAAACTTTTTGAAGACATAGTCATTTATATACCTTTGTTCGTATATATATACAGCAGAAAATAATACAGCCTAAAACTATGCAATTGTTATGCATTTTTTTTTTATTTGACAGTAAAGCAAATCGCAAGGAATCAGTATCTAAACCAAATATATTACAACAAAACAACATGAAGTACACTGAAAGTAATGCAGCTGCAAGAGGTACCGCTGAGAAAGTATTTGTTAATTCACAAAATGTTCAAGAAGCGCTACAAACATTCATAAATCGCCATCGAAGCAGTTTAGAAAAACTAACAGAACAAAATAGTAAGCTGGGTCAACAAAACTCTCTCTTAAATGCACAAATGAATAATCAACAGGGCACCATATTGGCGCTAAATGAAAAGTGGGTATATTTATAAAAAAATGTATTTGAAGTATATGTTAAGACAAAACCTAAAATTAATTTTAAAATTTTATAGAATTGCAGTTGGGGAAAAAGAGCTTACCAAATACAAAGAAGAGCAAACGCGTTTGATGGAAGATAAAAGTTTGCTCCGCACTGAATTGTTGACTTATAAAAAACGCTGTGATGAATTGATGATTTCCAGTGAAAAGGAGCTGAAGGAGTGTGGTGAAAAGGAGGCGGTGTTGAAAAATGAGGTGGAAATATTTAATGCAAGAATGTATGAATATAAAACTATAACTGTGATTTCTTAACAGCTTGATGCGATTCGTGAAGAATTGCAAGCCAAGCACGCTGAATTTGAAAACAATAATGCAGAGCTTATAAAAACTCGAAATGAAATCAATGAAAGCAAACTGCAACTGGAACAAATACAGGTTTGCTGCTGAAATAACTTTTTATTGCATCATTATTAATTAATTTGTATTAAATTCCTATACATTTTGACTAATTACAGAAATCTAACAGTGATTTGCAGGAAGAATTGTTGCAGAAAGAAAAAACCATTAATACCTTGCGTAAAGAACATGCCGACTATAAAACTGAAACAGAGGTGAGTTTCATAGTAAAAGTAATGGTTTTTAATATTTAATACATTTTAAATTTGGTGAATAGAAAACGATCAATAAAATGCAAGAAATCCAGCAAATATTCTATCCGAACGCCATAAATCCCTTGCCGCATATACAACGGAACGACGAGAGCCGCTCAACGGTTTGTAAAAAGAGCTAGCTACAAACCGAAGCCTTAATTTACTTTATATCAAATATACTTTTAACTCCTAATTTCAGCAACCTGTCAGCATTACTGTGCAGCCGAGACCGCAGAGCCGCGCTGTCTTAAAGCGCAGTTCTTCGTCATCGTCATCGGAAGCCGATATGGAAAATGAGGAGCGCGTATTACTGCGCGGTTGGAGACCAGCGAGAAATATTGTAAATATATATTTTCTTTATTTTACTAATTTACTATATGTATATAGAAATATGTGTGAAACCATTTACGGAGACGGCGAATGAAGCTAGAGAGCTCTGAAATAAAACATATGTTTGAGATTTTTTTTTATACAGAATAAATGTTTATAAACATTGTGTTCAGATATTAATGTAACAAAAATTGGTATTGCGTTGAAGATCGGTTCAAAGAACTTTTCGATTATAATTTTTATTTTTTTAATTATATATAATTATATATATATATAATCTGACGTGCAGAATTGTCTTACACACATTTCAATATATTCAAAGGAAAATATTAATTGTTGAAAAATGACGACAAGGACAGTAGTAGCTTTCCAATGCATGTTCGGAATATTGGCACAATGCAATACTAATCAAGTTATTCCATCTCTTATCAAACTGCATGAATATACATATTTATAAACCCCACATAATATATATATTTATTTCTGTAGTAAATATTTTAAAATAATATTGTTACTTTATCGATCTTACAATTGTCTTTTTAATCTATTTGTATTAACATTCTTCATTTTTTTTTACAGAAAAGTTTACCGACACGATCTGAAAGTGGTAGAGGTTCAACGGTATGTAGTCAGAACGCAGCAACGTTGCATTTCCTAAAACACTACTTGACAAAATCTCATGCATATATACATATTTTTGATTCGAAACTGTAAACTATTTCGTTTTATGTTTTTAACTATTTCGCAGGATATTCCACCAACATCAGAAAGCGGTGGTGAACCTACCATACAAAAGCGTTCTCGGCGTTAGATTAAGAAAGTTATTTATATTATTAACTTATATTATCTCTAAAACAGGTAATGAAAAGTAGAATTTTACTGTTTTTATTTTATTATTCAATTTTTTTTTCTTTCCTTTCTTCTTCCCTAAGCAATTCCTATATATTCGTATTGTAATCAGTTGATAAGAAAATATTTTTATGTCATTATTTTCAAGCGAAAAAAAAAATACTTTGAAAAGTTTAATATACACTTAAGTACTCAAGAATAAGTGTACATTTAAAAGATATTAAATATTAATTACATGTAATTAGGCTTTAAGATCCGAAGTGATAGCTGTAAATGAAGTGTGTTTTCAAATAAGTGGCAACTTAATGATTACATTTCTTTTTGTTTTTTACTTACCATACATAAAGTTTAATATTTTATCACTCCAACGATTTCTTTTATTTCTTAAAAAAAATTTGCTTTTCTGTTTTCAAAAAAAGTCCAAATAATAAATTAAAAAAATTCCAAGTAAAAAATTTCAATACATTTCATTATTCACCACACAAACTTTCACATTGCATATGTATGTAAATATCTTTAGCATTATTTCAATATTACCACTCAATCGATGATGCCCAGTACGCGCGCCTTGCTCAAAAAGTCCGTCCGCTGTACATAACAACCGGTCATGGTGCGTTGACCCGTGTACGCGTGTCGACCGTGAAACACACGCCAGTTATCGAAAATCAACACAGTACCAGGATGTAATTTGAAACTCCACTGATTCTCGATGCGTTGCACAATTTCCAAAAAATCGCGGAAACTATCGTAGAAATCTTGCATTTGCTCTTGTGGTATGCTATCGAATTGTGCGCGATCGTATACATTTAAACGTAGCTGCACTATTTCACCACTCACCGGATCCACGCGTATAATCGGTGCGGAATGTTTATGATATTGTCCATCCTCAATATACTCCGCCGGCACGGCTACACGCGTGAGTATCTCAAAGGCGCGCGGATTGCGATGCTTCAATTCGCGCGCTACATGCAAACCATCCGCGAAGAAATTCTCACCACCTGTACCGTTAGCATGTTGTATGCAATGCAACGATTGCAGGCCCGCAGCATCGCAGAAATACGTGTTGTCCGTATGTAGACCGAGATATTGTTTGGTGTAGGCGGTATCAGCGTGATCCTGTGCATCGGAGAATGTGTACATTTCGCCGAAAAATGTTTTCATCGGCGGAAAGATGCGACGCACCGCCATTTCGGTCATTGTGGTGTTCGGCGGTACGCCATCAATGAAAGCGATGCCGTAACGTATCAGACTTTGCACAATTTTACGCACCGCCGTTTCCGAGCTCACCAGTTCGGCGAGTGTGGTGCGCAAGTGCTCTTCGTGCGCGACAATAAACGGCTGATTCCAGGCTACGCGTACAGTGGAGTCAGCGCCACGCGCCACGATATGTTCAACTTGCGCGTCATGCAGGAAATCGATGTCATAAACGGATGTATGGCCATCACTCCCTATGGTAAATGCAACTCATATACAAACATACGAGTACATAATATTGCACCTAACCTCAAATTATTATTTTTGACTTACAGTGCACTTTATATTGCAGTCCATCCTTGATGTATTCAGCCTTAGTCGGTTTCACGGTATTCGGTATGTCCAGCAGATTGTATTTGCGTTGCTTTGTCTCCGTGTTGTAGCAATCGCTGCACCGACAGTGATCACGTAGCCAAAATGTATTGATTTTCAGCGTTTTGCCACTGCGACTGTGTTTAATTTGTATCATTTTTTGCAGTTGAAAATTTAGACTTTTGCGTTGCGTTAGTAAACTGAGACTAAACACTAGACTTTGGCTTCACAACATTTTGCTGTTCAAAAATAAATACTCACATACATATGTACATATGTACATACATATGACATACATCTCCATATGTATGTGCAACTCTCGTGTGCGCAGATAATATGTTGATAAGCCGCAAATCATTGTCCAATCATCATTATAAGCCGCTGATAATTCCAAACGTTCAATACACATTTCTATTTTTTAAATAATTATAAATATTTATTTATTTTTGTTCATATACATACATACATACGTATTTGTGTATATGTTTAATTCCGATATGCGACTGAGATTTCTTACATTCTTCCTCTCCTTCTTATGTTATCTCGCCAGTTGTCTATCTCCTACACGAAGTTGGTTCACTTATTCAGATTAATTATATGTTCTTCCGTATACTTATGTTGCTCACCTAGTCTTACATTTAATCTAAACTTTGAAAAGAGCAATAACCTGTTTGCATTTTTCCAATTTCGCCCAGTTTCAGCTGCTTATAGTTTTATAATTGTTATAGTAAGAAAGTAAAGCCAAGTTAGATCCCTAGACTAAGCGTTGGCATGCTTGTATTAGTCGAAGAGATTATTTTGAAGGCGATAATAAAGATTTGGATCAAAATACGTGAACATTTAGATTTTTTTTGTCAGACCGGGTCAATTTATCAGATAGAGACTGCTCTAGTTAAGATAACCGACGGTCTGGGGAACGTTATATCGACCAACACCTCTACTTGACTTATTAATAGCTATAAATCTGCCTATATACAAGTATACTTTATAAACCGTATAGTAGCTACTAACAAGCAAAAAAATCATTTCATGTTTACAAAAACAAAACTAAGCAGGGTTATATGATCTTAAAGTTGCTCGCAGACTTGTCTTTATTGCTATTTCGACATAAAACATACTTTCCCAAATTAGCAAGTACTCTTAACGAAGTCGCACTGTGATTGTCACGATTTTAAAATAGATTTTATTGTTGCGTAACCGCTGAAAGCTATAGGAAAGGCAGGTATTTTTGATGACTCCGCTTCATAGAAAGTATCGCTGCTGGCTTCACCACTTCATAAATATTTTTTTATCATCATTCTAGCTAGCAAACTCATAAGTGGGGAACTCTAACTGTTGTTTCAATTTTGTTGCCTTATTTTCTAGTGTATTGAATAGGAAATACATTTTTTTTGTTTTTATGCCCAAATTGTTACTTTATGATCGCAATTGTGTAGATTTCACCTTATCATCAATAAGAATCTACGAAAATTATTTTGATAGATCTTATTTCAGTAAGAAAAACAAATATTCAGCAACAATAGAACTGAGTCTTACCTCGACATAAGCTATTTAGTGTTGTAAATGGAGAAATATATTTACGTACGTATGTAAATACTTATGAAAAACCAAAAACCTCAATAAGTAACTATATAAATCACTTCGTTTAATTAACACACCGATATTAGTCACCAGTGCATGCATCATGCTCACATCATTGCGCTCTCATAGATGCGATTAACTTGTGGGAAACAGTCATTCATATTAGATATATATGCATACATATACATATATATATATAATATTAATTTATATTTAGATACGTATGTATATACATATGTATATAATTTAGTTGTTTGATTTGTAAATAAATTTGAGTGCAATAGATAGTACTATCATATATTTAAAAAAAAAATACTAAAATTTATGAAGAGCGAAGCTATTGGATAACAAAATAAATAATACAGACTCTGACAGACATTTAAGAGCACACATATATTTAGACGGTTCAATAAATCATTCTTCTTTTTATTTTAAAAATTGTTTGTAAAACTGTTGAAAAATATGTTCCCAAAATTATTATGAAAACTATGGACTCATTCTAGGCTTAGCTAGGCAAGTGATTTTTCCAAACGCGTTTTTCGACTTTTCGCAAAACGACTTTTAAAATGGGTACTGACTTTCTACTACGCTTCATATAAACCTAAAATTTTATTTTAATTTCATTATTTAAAATTTTTTTTATATTTGTTTGCGCAAGAGTTAAAAAAATAATAAAAGCTCATGCTTTTTATTTTGATCCAGTAAAAAATTAAAAAAATTGACATTATATATTTTTTGATAGCATTTTTGTAGGTTCAAATAGCGGTTAATAATATTGTATAATAAATCAAATCTTATTTGCAAAACGCTGAGGCTGATTTTGACTTGCAATGTGGAGTGCTTATAGCTTCGCTATTTTTTTCCAAGTATTTCTTCAAAAATAGTATATACTTATCGTTTAAAGCTTCAATAAATTATATTCATTTTTTATATTGTACAATAAAAGTCTCATGAAAATTATAGAGAAAACATTGTTCTCACTCTATTTTAAACCTCAACCGTACTTATCCTCTAAATTGTCACGCCTCCGTATAATTGTCTACTTGTCAGAAATACGCCCTACGATTGATGCGGCCGAGTAATTAGAAATATTTCTTTTCAATTTCTTAGCCGAAATTCGAATTTAGAATGAACTCATATATAATAACTACATATACGAACTATACTATCTCCCCATTCAGTTCACACTTTTCAAAGTGTAAACAGCTTTATGTTTTTTTTATTTTTATTTTTTTTTTTGTTTTATTTTATATTACATTATTTTATTTTATTTATATATTTATTTTAGCTTTGTTTTAATATATTTTATTAAATTTTTTATTATTTGAATTTATTTTATTATTTTTATTTATTTATTTTAATCTATTTTATTTTATTTTTTTATATTATACTATTTTCTTTATATTATATAATTTTTGTTTTTTTTATTGTTGTAAAAAAGACTTTTAAACTAATTAATTCAAGACCAGTTTCCAATTAGTTCCAAAACGTGATGCAAATTATGTTGATAAATTAAAACTACCATATAAATATATGTGTTTGTATGTATACATAACTACATACAGACAAATGTATGTTCCACTATAGTACACTTTTGGGTCACATGTGACCATGTAAACGTGCCTAGACGCAACTTTCAAATGCGGTTTGCATTAGCCATAGATCGGGCAAGCGTGTAATAGATGCCTAGTAATTCTCTTACATTGCAGTTGTTTAGTGGAATTGTTGTTGTTCTTTTTATGAATGTTCACCCTTTTGCTTCTTTAGTGCACTTGTTCGCTGTTTTGTAATTTAGAACGCTTGGCGATGTGTACTAGTTGCATTGGCACACACGTGTCTCGCACTATCGCTGTGTAAATGCAAGTCAAATAGATATTTACAAAATAATTACGCCTACTTGCCGCTGACACTGACAGTGAAATGCTCGCACATATGTATGTATTGTACGTACATATGTACATACCGAACTCATGAACGAGTGCTTAGTGCAGCAGCAGCACAACTTTGCGCAGCAATGTCACAATGTCGTCCGCAGCAGCGAGATTTACAAGTGCCGTCAAGGTGTGCGCCTACAGCATATTTATATCTGCATCAATACTAGCGCGCATAGCCTGCAAGAAATGCTGCTAAAACTAAAAAAAAATATATATTTTTTTTTTGCAATACGAGTAAGCTTGGAGAGGCGTATCGAGCAAAGCACTGAGAGGCGTATCGAGCAGAGCACATTCATCAAATGAAAATTGGCATTGATTTGATTGATTTGATTTTTTTACGATTTTTTTGAAAAAATCTCACTCATATTTTTAACAGAAAGTCTAATATTGTAACTGTAGTATAATCACTCAAATGAAAAACTGAACTTTACAGTCACAATTACCATCTCTCCGATTCGTGATCTACACCGACCAATAGGGGGTAACGCCTACATAACGCTAATCGAAACTGGTAAGTCATTGTATGGATAACTATGTACAGAACATGCAGAAAACAATTGATAGTGATGAGATCATTTTTTACCGAGTAATCACTGCAAAAAATTCGAAAAATGCTTTTTCGAGAAAAACGCGTTGATTAAGCTGAGCGACTACACTTTAGAAGCCTGCAACTTAAAAAATTTTTGAAATATTCATTTAAAATTTTAGTATGGTATTTTAAAAATATAAACTTAATGCCATAAAAAATATTTTTTTCAAAATTTCATACTCATAAACTTAATTCGAAATATTGCAAAAAATAATTTTTTTTTTTCAAAATTTCATAGTCGCCCCTCAAAAATATATAATTTTTATAATAAATATTTTTTTTATTTAGTTTTTTTTTTATCAAATAAAAATGGTTATTTTTGATATTTATTTAATTTTAACGATATTTTTTTTAATTTTAGCCCATTTTTGCACATAATTTTCCTACAGGGTACATCCACCATATGAATTTGTCATGCCATTTTTCACTTTTTCGTCGCAAACAGCAAAATAAACACTCAGTCAGCTGTCGGCGACATTTGGTTTGTTCCACACGCTCTTTAATGTTTTTTATTACCTTCATTTTGCTTGTTTCCTTAAATTTTTATTTATTTTTTAATTAAAAACACATTTATGTGCGACTGTGTGCTTGCGCATGCAAATATAATTGTTTCGCGATATTTACATATAATATTTATGCATTGCCAGTGCGCTTAGGCCCAGCAAGCAAGTGTTTTTGTTAGTTCCTTAAACATTTATTTCGGTGAAATGCAAACGAAAGAGAGAAAGCAATAAAACAAACGCGGTACAATAATAAATAATAATGACTACGTCGATGTAAAAACAATACATATGCCTCGGCAGCAATAGCAGCAGTAACAACAACAACAGCAATAAGCGACCGCCACTGCTGCTGCTGCTGCGACAGGGAAGAATATTCGAACGCGTTGTAATAATAAGTTTAGTTTGCCGTTGGGGATAACAATAATAAGTTCGACAAAATGAGAAATCGCGTAACTTAATTTTAACTGCACCTCTGAATTTCGTTGTTAATTTTTTTTTTTATGACTGGTAAAGTAGCTAACGAACTTGTAATTTAAGTAACTCAGTAAAATATAAACCAGTGTGCACTAAAAACAAAAAAAAAAAATTATTTAAAGTGTGTGAAATAATTCAAATTTATTTAAAGGCTGTGCAAATTAAAAATTGTATGCTGTGAAATTATTAAAAAATTATAATAATAGTGGTAAAATGCAAAGCAATATCGAATTTATAAATAAATTAAGTAATAGTAGCTAAAAGATATTAATATTAAAAAATAACGACTATACTCAGTGGAAATAATTAATTTAATATAAAACTAACGAAACTGAATATATTAGATTTTTATTAAAAAATAAACCTAATTAATTGCTAAAACAAAAATTTTAATGAGTCAGTATTATCGGCAAGAAGGTGAAAAGTGTTCGCACTTGAAGCTGGATTCCTTTAGCATTCATACAATGGATTTGAAAAAGTATTACCAGCGTCCTCAGACACAAAAACTTAACCAGCAACAGCAAACGAAGGCAACAATTAGTAGAATGGAGCTGCGCGCACACAACTCGCTGAAACGTCCACTTACTATAAATACAGGTAAATAGCTGTACTTACAAAGTCTAAATTCTCAAGTTCCAACAATTTCGAGTAAAGAATCTTATTTCCTATACAAAAAAATATCTCTGTATAATAATTTAATAATTTCCCTAATGAGTAGTATGTATGCCAAGCCCTTTAACTAACACTCGATAGATATTAAAAGCTTTCCGGTGTTTAAAAGTGACAAAAATTATATAAAAAGTCATTTATTGTTTATTTGTAATTTATAAAGGAAGTAACTAATCAACGCCTCCATGGACTTTAGTAAACAAGCTGGCAGGTAGGCCCTGTTATCTCAGCACCTTAATTCATACACGTTTTTGATAACGACAATGCAACAATACTATTCTACGTATTTGATGAAATCAAAAATATATGAAAGCTAACACAACAATAACCCAAGAACACTTTCTCAAATGCTTTTATGCAATAATTTTTATAATGATTTGATCTCTATACAATTTTCTGCATGTTCTGCATATAAAATAGTTCGCTACACAATAACCCACCAGTTTTTTGATGTGACAAAAATCGAATATTGACATGTGAAAAAGCGACACAAATTTTGCGAAAAATTCAAATTTTTTAAAAACGCCACCATTTTGTAATTTTTTGATTTTTTTTTCGTCCGTAGGTCATTTGTCCGTACAATATCTTCTACAGAGAATTTTTTTAGATTTCATCCACGAAGGGTGAAATCACCGCAGCAGTGGAGAACACCTTTTTTTAGTTTGTGTAACTCGAAAAATATTGGATTATTTTCTTCAAAAACGGTATATTCTTAAAAAATGGCTAAATTATATAACCTTAAAATTTTAAAGCAATTGATATAGTCGTTTTTTATTAATTCACAAAAATTGTCTTTTGTGGGCTGTCACACTAGGTGTATTCCTTAAAAGGTTTCTCATAAAATATTTCACATGAAAACATTTTCTAAGCATAGTATTTTTCATTTTCTTAGAAAAACTTCTTTAAGGGTTTTGTTATAGGAGGTGGATGCTGAAATATCCTTGTGTTTGATCAAATACGAAGAACTTTAATTATGTGTCACAGTATAATAATTAATATATATAATATATTTAAATAATTAAACATATAGACGAAAATATATGTACATACATTATTATAGTATACTTGCGATCAACAAAGTGTAACTATTTTTATTTTTTATTTGATTTTTAAACGGAACTCTAACCTTAGGACTTTGTAAGTCCTTATGTATGTAAATACATGTCTCTGCCCTGGGCATTAGCCATCTGCATGTGTACATATGAATGTGTGTAAAGAGCAGAGGGTTGCATAATATAGGCAATTCACATATTTGTGAATTTTTAGTACACAGTTTATATTTAGGTGTATATACCTATAATACATATTCATATGTACATAATGGTTAAATTGTAATTCTATGTTTTTCTTGCTTTTCGTTTTTTCACGGTCAGACACCTTACATAGACTTAGGGCGCGCAAATATGTAATTATGCACTATATGCTTATACCTATAGTTAAATGTACGGAAGTAATTTTCGTGTTTAGAGAACAACTCTTGAGACTTCCTTTGCATACAGAAAAATGAACTGTATGATGTGGTTTGCATGCCGAAGGCAGTACTAACCCAAACTTATACCAAGTTAACCATATAAAGGGTGAAACAATTACTTTATTGGGGGCGAAGTTTTAGTGGTCCAAACATATCAAGAAATTAGCCTCTTAATAGGTTAATTTGGTGTGGTGTGAATTCATTCCGTTAGCACAATACTTGTGGGAGTGAACTAAACCAATGATCTATGAATGAGCTAATGAATGAGCTACGTCTGCTCATCTAAGAAACATCAATACAACCTAAATTATATATATATATATATATTATTTTTTTTTTTTTTTTGTTTTTAATAAAAGTTCACCTACAGGAACATTTAAAATTCCGTTATATTATTAATATTACTGGAATATGCTTGTTGTGTGACCGCAGCTAACCACCAGTGACCATACCCTCATTTATCTTTTAAGCTACCAAATAACAAATACTTATATGTATGTATGTACATTCCCACATCTGGCTTGGTTCGTAAAACGGTTTTGTTCAACCAACGGTTGTTTGCAACACCACTGCTACTCCTACAAAATGCTATTAAAATTTTAAATTCTGTAATTAGGTCAAAAATCATGCTATTTCTTGAGAAACTAAAGTGGCCTCGCCCGTTAGTGTATATCTCATAAACTTCTAAAGTTATATGAACCAAACTTAGTGAAAACATTTCCTTGCGCATCCTTATTTTAATGTATGAAAATGACCGCAGTCCTATCTAACAGATAAAACTTTGCAAAAATAGTATAATGTTTCTCAACTCTCATCTAAAAATAGTTGAAATCAGACTTTTTCAATCCCGAGATACCGCAGTATCTATGGTTGACTTTATATCGAATATATCAGTCAATCTGTAAAATAATGTATTGAAATTAAATGTGCCCGTTTTTCTGGTATAATGTTCAGTACGTATCCCAGCCCCTATATACCTAATATAAAAAAAGTAATGTTTTCACGTTTTCGTTTCGTTTGTTTACACTTATTCTTCTTCTAGCAAAATAAATAAAATACGACAGAGTGTTCCGTTAACGGTTGATCAGGAGTCTTTACTCAATAATCAAATCAGGGTACACTTTATAGAATTTCCCGTGCGATCTTGCCAAAAAATCACAAGTGTTTTCACATCCAAAGTATACGCACAAAGTACAATATTATCATATAAATATATATATGATATTATAGTGCAGGCGACGTGTTAGTATTAGCTTGCTTTATACCACTCTGTACCGTTTCGATTACTCCTGTTTCTTATAGACTTGCCAGATTACATGTCATTACAGAAGTTTAAATAACAATAAACTGTGATGCATGACACAACTTGATTAAGAAAAGTTATGACGTTAATTAGAAAACTTGTTAAACATAATAATTGAATAAACATTATTACTGTGCTTATCTGTTTCTGAAATATCATATATGCCAAAATGTGAAAGCATTGGAATACACATTTTAAACGCTTCTGGTAAGGCTACACACAGCTGTCGTTTTTATTTCCACCCGTTCCGTCGCTTATCACTTTGTTGTTGTGCGAAAACTTGCTGTTATTTTGGGGCTATTTGTGGGGCGAATTGGGAGCTCGTCTATTGCTTTGGCCAGTCGTCGATAAATTCCGTTAGTGTCAACAAGTGTGAGATGTGTGCGTGATGTCGAGCGCATAAAAATAAAAATTGCATTTTAACTGAAAAGAAAGAAAAAATTATATGAGAGTTGCAGTTTTCAGTACGTTTACATCGAACGGGTCACCTATATGAAAAGGGCATTGCTCTCTGCTTACGAACTCTTCAAGAATTTTCAGCAAGTTGCAGGAATTTTCTTTTTTCACAGTAATAATACGTTTAAATGACCTTTGTTTTACATTAATTGACTCAGTTGATTAATACATTCGGCGGAAAAGTACGTCATTTTAAATAAAGAAATTCAAAAGCAAAAACAAAGAGTGAAAAGAATATTTGTGATTTTTTGGCACGCAACAATAACGACACCGGTGAGGCGATGTTTTGGGAAAAAAAATTATATTAGTTTTGTTGTTGGATAAAAACGAAGACAGTGTGTAATAAAATTAAAATATTATGTGAAATGCGAACGACGAAAATATATACCAACAATCAAGAAGAAAATTTTGCTGGTGTTGTAGTCTGCACTTTCCCTCGTTAGGCAGATACCCCAATTGCGGCAAAAGGCATCGGGCACCGACGTTTTACTTTTACCAAAGAGTTTGATGAACAGTAGCATATGTTCTAGCCGTTTGTTTGAGGGATATCAGCGAATACGTGCTTAGAGTCTAATGATAATTTTTTGGTCACGGTTTATGTGACGGGAAGTGAGATCCCTAAAAATAAAACATTGGCGTTAAATTTAATAAATCACATATGCGGTGTATTTAGTTTTAAATTTAAATTTTTGTTTGGAAATATCCTTTTTCTAACCTATCTTTCAACCTATGTATGTGCGCATTAGATTTATATATATGCATGTATGTACAAGTATCTACAAATCGCGATTGAATATTTGTTAAGAGCTTTGATTACTCACATCATGTACATCAAGATATCAGTTTCCTGTTTTAAACCTTTTAGCACCTTGGGAGTAAATGTAAAATTGTATGCACATATGTATATCTAAATTATTTTTAACTGTTGAGTAAAAACTTATACTTGACTCTATTGTTTGAAGGCCGCAAATTATTTGTTATTTATTATGTGCCCAAAAACCTACCCACTTTGTAGGCACGACGTTGTGTACTCCAGTGTCAAACTCATTTATTATGTAAACGTCAGTGCGCCAAGTGAATTAAATATATGTATATGCTTATATACATTCAGTCGTATATTCATGTATGTACATATATTAATGTTTATTTTACCACTAGTCGAAACAATCGATATCACTACTGTGACCCATTAAAAGTAAACAAAAACTACAAGTCAGCTGTTTCAAAAAGTGTACTACTGAAACACACAACAAAAAAAACACACACATTAAATATATTAATATAAAAAATATTCTTTAAAATCTAAAAAAATACAAGTGAAATTAAAGTCGACACATGGATGACGAGTTGGAGGATAAAGTCTTTTATCAAGCATACGTTTCCCACATGAAGATTCTATCGAAATTCGCTGTGGGCTTTTCGTCCATCAATTCGCCCTTGGCGTACATATGGAAATTATGTCGCCTCTATCTACTACGACCCGAAGTGATATTTTTCGGTGTGATTCTTTTCATTTTCTTAATTTACTTACAAGCTGTTGATGCCTGGAGTCGTGGCCTATTGGGGCGTATACAAACGACACTTGGTCGTCAGAAGGCAAATCGGCCGAAGTTGACAAATGAGGCAAGCGGTCATGGTGATTATCAATGTTGGGAAGAGGTGCGTCAACAAAGTGCCGTTTATGCGTTACTCGGACGGCGACCACGCATGGAAGACAGGTGAGTACAAAACAAAGAACAAAATTTTATTTGTTTGCACGCACAGTCATATGTACACATATTTGTGAATAATTATGCACGTATTAGCTATAATATAATATATTCCATACACAGATTTTAGTTCAAAAAATTGTCTGCAATAATTAACACATATTACATACATGCATACATGTCAAATGGACACAATGCATGTAGGTCAAGGACTTTCTACGCATTGAAGCGAATAATCTTCATTTTTGTAGATAACCCTTACATTGGAAAATTAAAATTTATAGTGAGATTAGATAATTATTGTAGTACATAAAAGCGTAAAATAAAAATGTTTGGTTCACTATATACATATATACATATGTATAATTCAAATTTAAACTCATCAATCAACGGAAATGATTAATTTATGTGAAATCTATCTATAAGTGAAATACTGTCTACAGCGCTCGTTCATTATAATTAATTACTAGTTTTTGAGTAATACAAAATAATTACGGTGATAATAGTTAGCTTTTAAAATTTATAAAATTTACGCAATTGAATTTAATACATACGCTTCAATATTTGTTTACACAAAATCAATTCTTTACATCATTCTAGATAATTCTTCAATATATTAGGAAATTCATAAATAGAAATTATTGTAAATACACTTCGCGTTAGAGACAGTAAATCACACATAAGATGTTGATAAGCATACATGCATAATCCCATAAGTGTCCATAAAGCGTTTGAACTTTCTACGCTAAAAAATTGGAAAAAAAAAATTTCTTTATTCGGCTGATCGCTATAGACTTCCTAATCTCTTTTAAGTTATGAAATGTGCTAAGTTTGCAAAATGTGAGAGTTCATTGCGCTAAATACATGCGCACATACCTAAATATGTGCATATATATGTACGTAGAACACGCGCCGCTGATTTGTAATAATTTCAATCATGTGTGCAAGCTTAAATAAACGGTTGTATGTATGCATGTACATATGTATTTTTATATTTATAGGTGATGTGTTTTTACTAAAATATACACTTTTATACGCACACTTATGTGTATTTTATGTATGTATATATGCAATTAATTCACATTGACGCAAAAGGCGGCACTGGCCCAACGCCTTGCTGCACCATTTACCTATGTAGACGCACACATACTGTTGCACATTTTAATGCGTTTTCATTTATTTATATCACATTGAGAGATGTAAACGCATCATATGAAATAAATCAACATTACAATTTTATTTTTAACATATAAAATTAGAAAAATATACATTGAATGGAAAAGATAAAGCGAAAGGAATAACTAATAATGGAAAATTATATAGAATCAAACTAACAATATAAATATATTGCATATTGCTATCTCAGTACTCTTAGCCGCCTATTTATCTGACATACTCACTCTTAACCGCAGCGCACTAACTGTGTTATTAGGTAATACGCAGTTTTGTAAAACTTAATATCGTGTTTAGTGGAAGATTTTATCTATTTTTAAACCTCGTATATAAAAAAATACTTAGCGTCTGTGCTCTGCCTTTACAGCGATAGCGAATTATATATATTCACATATATTAGGGTGGGTCAAAAACAAAGCTTTTAATTTTTGTCCTTACCGCAAAAATGAAATGAAAAATAAATTCTGCTAAAGTTTGAACTCTTAATATTAATATTAACAGGTGGCGCATACTGCTTTTCGATATCCCATATAACTTCTTATGTCAAAATATTTCTGTGTTATTTATATAGGAAATCAAAAATCACAAAGCGCCACCTGTTCATATTAATATTAAGTGCTTCAACTTTGCAAGATTTTTTTTTCGTCATTTGAAACGATATTTTCATGGTATATAAAAAAAAAATTTAAGGTTTTTTGGTCCAACCTAATACATACATATGTATAATGATGTGCTGTAATGTATAGCCAGCTTTTATCTTTGTATATAAATTTATATAGTATGCATGTAGAAAAGTGTACATATGTATACATTTAAATATGCATTATTTTATTTCTTTGTTATCTTGACAACTTTGCGGTTTTATGCAGTCTCCTTACCTATTCAATATCATTGTAATACTTTGGTTTAGATATTTGATACAAACTACAATATATACACATATTATACAAACAAAAAAAAAAAACATATAACATATACTATTATTTGCTGCAACCACATATTCACCCAAAAAATTGCAATCGTCGAAATACGTTGCAGCAACTAAAGATAAATCTTGTACACATGTTGTAAATTAATTTATTCACAGTCTTCGAACAAAGTTGTATTCAGATTTCTTTGATATAAAATGTGCATACATATTAGGTAAATATTTGCACATGCATTTAAGCAAAATACTGTTAAAACTCATACGTACAAAGTTTCTCGAAACGTATAATTTACAGTAAATACTAATAGCATACTTTGTGAAAGAGTATGAAGAGTGTAGATAGATGTCAATTACATGACGTCAACAATAAAAAAACATTACATACATACATACAAAAATTTAATCAAGTAATGATAACCGCTAATGGTTTCCAGTAATCTTCCATTAATTATTGCAGCAAAGTTCAAAATAATAATAACGCAGATCTTTATTTCAAATAGTGCTACATACAGTGTATACAAAGTGTACACAAGTTCGTTAAATATTTTACACAAAAAATCCTTCTCTACCCGAAAGCTGCAAATAATATTCAATATTGCCTTTCGAATTGTCATTGAAAACAATCCATAAGTGACAATTCATTATTATTTTTCTTGAAGAACCCTGTTGTAAAGTATTTTGTATCTTAAACCCTTTTTCATGTATTTTTCGAAGTAATGGTCATCTCGACGCTGGGAGAAGTATGGAAAATGTAAATATTCTTTACCCAGCTGTTGCCGTATAAAGAATCACATTTTGTAGGCGATAAAAATTATTTGTGTTAAAATATTTTATCGAATCAAATAACCTTAGGTGACCATATTTTTCCCGGCAAAATCCGAGAGGGTTTTTTTAGTCATCGATTTTTTGCATATTATAATTCACTAAAAATCGCGACATATAATAGGTGAGAGAGCAACACAATTTTATTCAATTCTTCCTTTTTTTGATTCCCGGGACGTTTAACTCGCAGTCCGGACTGTCTTGGCCAAACCGGGACGAATGGTCAGCTAACTATAACCACTTGTTTGCTTGTCCGATGAATTTTACTTATCTAACATTCCTTATGATCCGACCTGACTTGCCACCCGAAAAGCGTCTAGGCAACCGCTACAACAACAAAAACAACATATAAAGTATATTGGAACCCTACACTAGATCAAGTTGTAAAGCAATTCGAATGGCAATAAAATAATGTATGTACTCTCAGTAAGAGAGTATAATTACGGTATTTAAAATGTATATTCATAGATTAATATCAGAAAGCATAATGAAAAACGTGCAATTAACCTGAAACTATTACCCTGAAAACTAAATAAAAAATGTAGAAAAAATGTTAACTTCGGTTGCACTCAAGCTAGAATACCCTTCACAAATAAAAAGGTTTCCATACAAAAACTTGAATTTGATCGGTCAGTTTGTTAGGCAGCAATATGCTATAGTGGTCCGATTTGAATCATATGTTCTGAGACTCTTACATTGGATAATAATCCACGTCAAATTTCGTAATTTTTGGCCGTTCCAACAAATGAGCAGCTTCTTGTGGAAAAAAAAACGTATGCAAAATTTTAAATTTAAGTTCGTCACGCTGATCATTTATATATATATTTTATAGGATCTCCGACGTTTCCTTCTGTATGTTACAAGCTTCGAGACGAAATATACCCGGTGCAGGGTATAAACATACCTAAATGCCGATAAATATACAATACTTACGCAAATCAGATTAAGTCACGTAGCCTAGAATTATTGTATTTAATTAGATAATTAAAGAACAACGTTTAGTTACACTATATGCTTACACTTAACATAAATCATATAATGTGGCAATCTACTCGTGTTTCCCTCATCGACCGTTATTGATTACCGTTTTTCGTGCTCTTATCATTTAAGGAAAATAAGTAAATTTCATTATAGTCATATATCCTTTCATGTATTTATTTATTTTTTTTTCTATTTGTATTCAGAGATTACAAATAAAAGTCATTATATAATCAGACATTGTTATTTCCCCTCACTAATTACCATGTTTATTTCAATTCAGTGAAGTAGAAAAATATGTAAACGCCAGCAATAGCACTTCAATTCTCTGAAAATACTAGAACGTGTCTAACGTATAAAACCCGACTAGCGACCAAAAATGCTGATTATTTATTGATGATAACTTCAAAAGTTCCGAGAAATGGGTTATTTAAACAAAAATTTCATCGAAAGCTCAGTAAATAATTTTATTAAAACAAGATACTTGTTTCAAAATTATTATTATTATTGAATATTTGTCATTAAATGTGGACTTTCCATCATTTTTACGTCCTTTTTTGTTAATTTGTTTTGAATATAATATGAAGCATTTGAGCTGACTCAATTTGATTAGTGTTAGCATACTCAATTTGACAGCTGTCAAAAATGAGTGCTAAAAGTGGATAATAATTCACTTTCAATCGTTTTTTTTTTTACTTCGAAATAGCAATAATGAATTATCTTGGTAAAAACAACCCAGTTTTAAAGTATCATGAGTAAAATAGAAAACTTAAATCAGAGTCGCTCAATTTCAACAGGTCTTGCTTTTCCTCAGCAAGATACGTGCCTCTAGTTGTAAGGGATCTAGCCGGTAATTTTCCGATTTGTACACATATATAGAAATCAAATGATGTCTATGAAAAATAGCGTATTTAAATTCGGATTTGAAGTGCATAAACACAAAATTCACTCAAATTTTTTATCAGTAATAAATAAATAGCTAGCCAAAATCATATAACATATAAGAAAACTAATTGCTATTGCAGTAATTCAAAACTACATTCAATTTATTTTGTGTATATTAAACAGGATTTATTTTATTTTCTTCTGACTAATCTAAATAATAAAA